ATACCGGTTTCGCGGTATATGACGGTATTTATTAATTTTTTTCCATGCATGACCGGGTGTAAACCACATTTTCTATTGATTGAGAGAGGAAATAGGCTACTGCAGTAGATTGACTTAGAATGCCCTATTTTACTGTCATGATGAGTGAATATTGTAGAAAAATTCCACTTTAAATAGTGACGAAACACGACCCATTTATACATGTTAACCAGGAGTCACTCTCATTTATAATCGCGACATCGTCTGCTAAAATCAACATGCATGTACAGTATATGCATGTTGAGCGGCTATGCGGTGGTTTTGGCTATATTACTTTTTTGTCTCATCCAGCGCACTGCCTGCGTCTGAGTAACAAAAATTTTTTTTTTATTATATTAATAGACGAACTATGCTCATATTTATAATTCCAAACAGTCAGTAAGCGACAGGTGCTTGGAAACACTGATTTGTACTCATTTATTGGCGAGTCGGCTGTGGTACGGCCAGCTGAAAGCGATGCTTCTCTGCCGCTCACTGCACAGAACAGACGCAGAGAGAGACGACACTGCGCCGGGAGAGTCAGTGTGCTACTGGTTGAAGAGCAACTACATATGGTGCACACATCCTATTGAATTCCCGGTTTTTAATTACAGAGGCTTGAAGGAAGACATTCAGGTCCACGTGAATGACTAATATCTGACAAGGACACGAAAACCACCCCGAAGACGCAACACACACACGAAAGAGGATACCGATTGTGAGAATGTTGCTGAGTGACAGATCACAACCACATTCAACACTGGCGCTCCATGGACTAGAAGGTGACAGAGAAGCAGTGGCTCTGAGTAATGGGCAACTGTCTGAGATGCTGGGGAAAAAAAGCAGGGTAGACTGGCACAAGGGGGAGGGGGGATAAAGGAGGGGTGTGAGCCAGCTTGTCGTTTATCAGTATTTTTATCACACCGTGACTATTTCAAGAGGAGGGAGGTAGCAGCCAGTACACAAATAGATGCCAGCTGAACATCCCCCCATCAGTGAAGCGCTACGACGCTTCAGCCTCTGAGAGTCTGGGACACCCGTGTCAAGCTCAAACTACAGGTGATCTTCTAGAAAACATGACTTTAAACTAAGGTCAAATGATAAAATACGTGAGGACTAGTGAGACCAAAACAACTGAAGGATGACTATTCAAAAACGGAGTGTTTTATAGGGAATATTACACAAGATTTTGCAGAGATTTTCTCCCATGACCTTGCAGATCCTTCAGTATCTGGTTAGGTAAGTCTTGACAAACACATTGTGCATGAAGATCAACTAAAATTTCAAAATAAAAACACACCTCCAATGACTCCCCAAACCATGCCTGACTGGAAATGCCACTCCAGATTAACAGAGCCGTGGATCTCAAATCTTTGCCCAGAAACACAGAGCTACGACTCCTATTATTGCTTAAGGAGTAAATTAAAAAAGTCTTTATCTGACCTAAAAAAAACAAAAGGGTTTACAAGGAGAGAAGCCTGAGATGATTAAAAACCATTACACTACATCAGGCCAAACGGATTATAGTTGATTCCCTCAATCCACATTAAAAGTTCTTGAGGAAAAAATGCTGACCAACATTTTCAGCCTGCAAATCACGGTAAGACTGGGTATGGCTTGGCAAGAGACATATTTCAACAAACATTTCATCTCCACTATAAACAAGCCATACACTCCAACTGACTCCAAATCAGTCTCAAGAGATTTCAGCTGCAAGCTGCTTACTGTTGGTACAATTCTGTCAGTGAGTCACTGAAAGAGGATCAGTCTTTTTGGTTAAAACTGACCTCAGAAACAAGCTACCCAGTACCCACCGTGATTAATTTTAGAGAGAGCTATTACGGTTTAGGCCAAACAAATGATCTCAAGATCTGAGCTCAGATCAAAACAGGCCACTTGCATCTCAAGTGTAATGTGTGATGAAATTCCTCTAATGCACAGCATCAATTAAACCTCGATGAATACCTAAAATTTAAAAAAAAATAAGCAGGAAAACTTATGTATAATTGGTGTACATCTAAAAACAGTAGTTTTAGTACTGACCCAACTTCATCCACAAATGTCTGACTTAGTAGTTATAGCCTAAATGCCAACCAACAACTACTAAGAGCATCTAAGTTTACACACAAAATGTAAACTACATTATCGCACAGCTCTCTATATAAAGTTGGACATATATAAATCTACATATATCCAAGGTTATTTGTATACATACAATGCATTTAGCTAAAGCAATACATACCTGTATAGAAAATCCCCGCTGCGTGTTTATATCACAAAATATAAACTATATTATCAAGATTTTCTATAACGCTACTTTAAAACAATGCATATTGTAAAAAGTGCTACAAATAAAACTGACTTGACTTAAAAAGCAGAACAAGGCAACCACATCGATGTTGAATCTTCCCAACCGCTGAACTTTCTGCAAGGGTCCAGAAAGTAAACTGGAAATATACATCTTCTCAGACACTAACTAAAGAAATCAAGTAATATCTGGAAAGAACTCATGACATCTCAAAACAAGCATTGTTAAAAACACACGTCTCTTCTTTTAGTAGCAAAAAGGAAAACTATTAGTTAAGACTGTTGCCTGTTTGTACTGCAATACTATTATTATTACGTTTTTGCTAAGAAAAACAAGCAACTAAAGAGGTTTTGTGCTGACAGGTAAACTAGAGAATCATAAGCTGTATTTACTTGTAGCTAACTAAGCCATTTTGTTTGTAAACCAAACAAAACTTAACCAATACATGGGTGGATGATATTCCTATTTTTGAGAAACAGATGGATTGGACTCACCTGTCCAGTGGAGTGGTCAATCAAGGGTAACAGTGGTGTCCTGGTCGACATCTTCTGAGGTTGGATTTGACGGTTTATTTTCTGAAACTGAACGTGTTCACAGCTCTCACAATTCAATCAAAAGTGAAGTGTCCGAAGTCCAACTTGTTAAGAGCCTCCTGCGCTCGGTGTGAGTCCCCAAACCAGCACAGATTAACTGTTGTTAGCTTTTAAAAAATTCCCGTCATTAAGTCATAGTTTGTTTACTAGTCTCGGCAGGAACGTGAATTTTATTATAAAATTTCGACGAACCCTATCGACGGGTGTCAACATTGAATGCCGACTTCCTATGTGATTTCCTACAGTTAAAGTGGTGATTTTTCGGGGAAATTATAGCATTAAAGAGGAGACAGATTAATCTGAACCCGTCAGCTGATGAAAAACAACAAAACTGTTCCCAGCACAAATGTGCAAAATAGAGTCCGAGGACTCACAAGTTTTATTAGGCCGGGTGGCAAAAGGGTCCCCAATTTAGCCGTAACTATCAATGTTCGGCTGTATACTGTTGTGCATCTGTAATGTCAGAAGTTAAGTCCGGGTTTCTTCTTCTCAAGCCTGAAGAAAGACACATGAAAATTCCGCTTAGCACACACAAAAAAAAACTTTACAGCAAGTTATCGAGCTGCTCCTTCCAGTTAGCCAACTCAGCAGCGCTCAAATAAGCGTTACTCCGAGTAATGATCCGTCATACAGGTGTAAACATGTCCGTTTCAAAACCAAATCAAACACTCGATGTCGTCTCGAGGTAACAAACTAACGATCCAAGCACAAAATCATCGCGGAGATGCTCGCCTACTGGCTCTCTGCGCCTCTGAAAATCACATCTAACCTGCTAAAGCGCGTTAGCTGGCCGGGTGGCTTCGAAAAAGTCGCTGATATTTTGACAGTGTGATTGTAAGAATACGTCCTAACCGTAGCCCAGTTGTTAATGGCTGTAAATTGGTCGGTTCCAGTCGGTGGTACGCGACGAATTACATCTGTGAGCCGTGAAAAGCCATATAGTCGGGCGGTCACGACTGGTACCGCAACAGCGCCCGGACGCCAATGTTGTTTGCGTTCAAGAGAAATGTGACACCAGTGGATCGACTTCCTTTGCCTCGCTCACATAGAGCTTTAAAATAAAAGTCTTTCATTCACACCTCATTTTAAACTTAAAGTCTGATATGCATATTCAAAATGCAAAATAAGTATTTATTTTATATATAATAACGTCTTAGTAAATCAGTTATCGATTATTTAATGGTGATCAAATGTCTAATACCAGTAATTTTGACCTTGTACATTTTTTGTCCCCATGAGGAAAACATCATACAGAATAAAGTTTTTTTGAAAATCTTAAAATGCAGAAAGTTTTGTGTGAGGGGTAGGGTTAGGGTAAGGGGATAGAAAATACAGTTTGTACAGTATAAAAAACATTACTTCTATGAAATGTCCCAATAAAACCTGAAAACCCAATGTGTGTGTGTGTGTGTGTGTGTGTGTGTGTGTGAACTGTGAAATGTAAATTTGTACTTTAAGAATTCACATAATTATATCAAAACGTATGTGCATTCAGTAAATTTTCCTCATTAAAATGTTTTGCATACACATAAATGAACAGTGCTTTTGGAAAAATCTGTTAAAAATTATGTAGCTCACATAAAATGAAGACACCATTCAGATTTATTATACATGGGATGGGTTCCTTCATGGTGGTTGCCATGTTTAGATCACTGAATAAATTAATAATGGATGCCAAATGCACTTGTGAATATATTATACCTGCAGTATACCTGTCAGTATAAAATCCTACTGTCATATGAGGCAGTAAAATGTAAACATGACTGCATCTTTACAGGGATGTATAAAAAAGACCTCTTTGGGATTACTGCTGAATTACAGATCCTTCTCATTTGACACACAGAGATGGATGTGGTTATTTCCGTATCAGGAAAAAGTGAACTGAATGCCCTAAACAAATTGAACTGAAACAAAAAACTAAGACTTTTCATTACCAAAAAGATAACACTTCAGGAAACCGGTAGCAGGTGAAGTTGTTCCAAACCTGTATGAATTTCTTCTTTGAAGAATGTGTCACAGTTGACAGTAGTAGCTATTGACCTCTAACATTCTTCAAAATATTTTTTTTATGTTCCATAGAACAAAGAAAGTCATACAGGACTGGAACACTATGAGTGTGAGTAAATGGTGACAGAATTTTCATTTTTGGATGGACTATCCTTTTAACAACAATTGCAAACAAAATGCATAGTACTATAAAAGCTCCAAAGGAAGGCAATGAAATCACACTATGTGCAAGCCAGATAAACAGTCTATGAAAATGTTATGTGATCATTTAGCAGTGGCTGTCAGACTGTTACACTAAAGGTGACTGCAGATGCTGTTACCTGCATTGTCTGCAGATTGAAGTTGTTCCAACAACTGATTGACTGGAATTGAAAGCTATTCATATATACCTTACATATTTTTGCCATGCATCTCTTTAATTTTTATTTCTTTATTTTGTATTATTCAAATTTATTTATTTTTTGCTCATCTCTATGGCATACTTCTCAGTTTCTGATCGTGCCCTTTCATTGGACTGTGAATGAAGGAATGAATGCTTTGCTGCCATCTCTAGGCGTTTGGTAGAATAAAATAAAATAAGGTGTAAAGCAAAAGAATGCCCTTTTTTGTCAGTTTACCAATGGTGAGGTCCAAGAATTTAATTTTTTTGGGTGATCCCTTTAAGAGTAAAGGTGAAGTTGGCTTTAAAAATAAGTAGCTTGTGTTTTTGTCAATAAATAAATAAATAGCAGCCAGGGGCCCCAGTGATCTGTTTGCGGTGTGGGTCCAGGGCCCTGAGTGATCAGTTTGCTCTTAAGCTGCAAATACTCTTTGCCATTTTGAAACTTCGAACTTCAAAGTTTATTTGAAAAACAGATTTTTTTTCCCTTGACAAACTAGATATCGTCTAAAATACTGCATGTTTTGTACCAGCTACGTTATATAGGAAGCGTTTCGTCACATTTTTTTTTAGCGTTTCGTCACATTTTGTTTGTCATTGGTCTAGGATGATGTCACCTGCACCGAAACCCCGCCCCTCACCCCCCACATAGCGCGCTGTCTCATGCACACGTACAGTTCACAGAAGCGCACATTGCATTACGCTGGCGTGTCCATTGTTGTTGTGTTGATTGTGTACACTTGTAAGGACAAACGCTTTGAGCAGTATGAGGAAACACTGCCTGAATGTCATATACTGATGGACATCACTGGATTTATAAAGTGTAACCCGCACATTAAGGCAGACCATAGATAACTGCAGCTATGTAAATGTCTCGCGCACTGGATCAGAATTGTTGCGCGGAGAAACACAAGGATCTCATTTTTCACAAAACATGACGATACAGCGGACGTGCAGCTTATAACGTAAGTCATTTTTTTCCTCCTTTTATTTTTGAGGCCTTTCATATGCATTGATGTGTCTAAAGGATGCATAATGGCTACTTAATATTTTGTTTTCAACAAAATGTCGCCCGAGTTTTATTGCAGCTATTGTTTATTCTAAAAAAATATAGTTATAATAAAAAATCTTCCCTTAGTTCACGTTTTAGATCTTGTCTATAAAGACACGCACCAGAAATCTACGCAAAACGTTTGAATTGTAATGCAGATGCATTTGAAATATAATAAGCATCATTTCTCTTAGCACTCGCATTGAAATGGTAGTGAAACTGAGCTCAAATGGTGAAGAGACACTGGACTACAGTGGAAGCGCATCCGAAGTCGCGTGACAGCATCAGCGTGGCCTAACAAGTGACAGTCAATACAGTTGCAAATTTGTGGAGGACGTTCTTGTTTTCGTTTTCAGTGACTAGTTTAGGCCTAGATAATATTGTACTTTTAATATTTTTTTCCTTTGGTGAAACATCTATGCAAGCGTTTGCTCAGACTTCGCATTAAGCGTAATTTTGCTTGGACAGTTGTTAAAACGTCCGAAACAAAGGCTCCTCCTAATTACTGCTGTGATTCCGCTTTCCAGTGAGAGAAACTGGAAATTCAGGGGCAATGAACGTAATGACGTGTGACGATGCGTGAAGTCATTCCACTGGATTTCACCTTCTTATCTTGTTAACTTTCACAATTTTTATAATAGTTTAAAACAATGCAGTCATTTCATTAGGTAAAGAGTTGAGCAGGCCCATGCATCTGTCGCAGACTGTTGACTTGAATGTAAAACATGCCTGGAAATTATTCATGGTAATGCAGTAATGCACGCCTGCCTGTAAATTAAAGATAAATGCTTATTACATTAATGACGTAAATATATGAGGTCTATGAATATATGGCCTTCAGGTCAATGCTCTGACTCAAGTGACATTTAATTTGTTAAAATAATTCCTGCACTGACACTTTCTTTTCAAAGTATTTTGTAGGTAACTGGATAAATGACAAGCAGATGAATATTTAATATGACTTGTTTTGTGGTAACATTTCTGCCAAGAGTAGAGACGCTGTGCTTGAAATTACCTTAATATAGCTTTTAATGATAAATAAAAATGTAAATTCCGTCACCGGTTTGTCATTATAACATAAACAATTACACTTCCTCAGTATTAGATCTGTTACATCCCTGTCGTAGACAATTTTATAAAGTAGTGGGGACAAAATCCGCCATGACCACGATGACCTTTTGTTCTTTCTTTCTTTTTTCTATCTTTCAGTAATGTATCAGACACAGTACTTGTTTGTTTTCATGGTTCAGTTATCATTTTGCTGCAACATTACTGTATTTACACAACCACACACCATTCTTTTGTGGTGATATGAATGAAACCTGATCGTTGTTTTTGTGCTCAGCCGGTACCTGGGCTCATCGATGCTGATGCTGTACATCTCCTACACAAGCACATGATGATGCCTGAGCGTGTGCTGCTGTTCCCCTGCTGTGCATGATTCATTGCAAAAAAAAACATTACACACGTGGTTTCTGTGTGAAATACTGCTGATAAGGTGTTTAGTGTGTGAGTTAAAGTGATTGGAGTGATGTTGACTTGCAATATGACAAATCTGGGTCAATGTAACCACCCACCCCCCTTCACTACCACAGGCTACAAAAGGCAAGACTGAAAAAAGCAAAGAGGATGAGGATGCCATCACCAGGCTCTGTGCGTGAATGTATGCATGTGGAAATAAGAGCATGGTGTGCTGGCTCTGTCCTGGGTTCTGTGTGTGTGTGTGGGTGTTGTGTTGGGGTATATGTCTGAAGTGCTGTTGTGCATGCCTATTCTCTGTTGTGCATGCCTAACTATTCTCTCTGAGCTGCTTTATATTCTCTTTTACACACACACACACACACGCATACATTTGTTATCTTTTTCATTTTTTTTTTCTGTTTTCAGACTTTGGCACTTTATTCTTAAAGGAATAAAAATGAAAATCCTGCCATTATTTACTAATCTTCTTGTCATTCCAAACCCAAATGACTTACTTTCTTCTGTGGAACACAAACAGAACAATTGAAACCTGTTTTCCATGTTCGTTTCTATGCAGTGACACTGATGAATCCTGAGTGGACTGAAGCTTTTAAGTGTTATAAAGGATGCAGAAGCATTATAAAAGCGGTCAGTCAATGTAACTTGCACATATTCCAAGTCATTATCCAGGCTCCATTTTTGCAATACCTCGGAAAATACCAACACAAACATTCTCCTTTTGTGTTCCACTGAAGAAAGAAAGGTGTTTGGGTTTGGACGATGAATAATGGCTAGATGTTAATTTTTAACTGATCTATTCCTTTAACCTTCTCATGGTCTTTTCATTGACATTTCATAATGTCTAATACCAATGTTTCAAACCGTCATTATTTAGAATAATGAGCTGATCTGCTCTACTCTGTGGAGGGGTGGTTAGTGCAGCCATCAGATTATATCTCTATTAGAAAAATTATAACATTATTCCATTTACGTTTCATTACGTTTGACTATAACAGATGTTTTCAAAATAAACTCTGTAAATGTGTGACTTAATAATCTCCAGCAAAAAAAAAAAAGACTTCTCATAAACGGTCAAGAAGACAAGGACGATATACAGTCGTGATAACCAAGAATATACCATACAGAATATTATCAAATTATGTCAATATTTCCTTGATGTGACATCACTACAAAGCTACCCCCTAATTTATACAATTCTTTACACAGTTCGCTTGTGTGCTTTTAATGATTATTTTATACATTTGGTAGATGTGAATCCCTGGAATTTATGTTAACAAGGGTAATGGGTCAGAAGGATTTTTCTGTTATATTAGGACTTCTCTTACTGACAAGTCTGTAACATACCCTTGTGCTGTTCTTTATTATTTCACAGTGTTTAATTACAAGTAAGGTTGTGAATGACTAACAGAAGACTGTCTTCTGTGCTTAACTCATCACAATTTTGATGTAATTCTGTGTGCTGTGACTAATATTAACTGTACGTGCAATATTCACATAATGTATGTGTCTTCTATGTGCACATTTCAAAAATTGCATAAGTACCAAAATGAATGGGCACTGTGATATTAATTTGTTTTTTTTCTTTCTGCATCCTAACCACACAGCTTTGCTCAGCCCCAGATGCCTCCGCTCCCTCTTGACGAGCGCATAGTGGTTATTCAGCGCCCCAAAAGTTTGGCCTTGCGCGTGGCCTCCCCACCAACCACATCACAATCTTCCTCACACCGCCCAGCCACTCACAACGAGCCTCCACCCCACTTACCACAACCCCAACACCCATTACCCCGTTCCCATCCAGGTTCCAAGTACCTGTCTCTGGAATGCAAGCGCAGGCAATCATCCCATGTTCAAAGATATAAAGGAGAACGAGGTGCTCCCTTTGAGGGCAGCGGCCACAATGCTAGCCATTGTCACAGCAATGGGACAGTAACTTTAGGTCCCAGACCTCACAAGCACACGCATACCATTGACATTAAAGTGTCTTTGGACAAAGGTGGAAGAGGAGGATCTTACATAGACAAAGACCGCAGCAGTAGTCTTACCCGAAGTGGACGCATCAAGGGGAACAAAACTAAACGGGTGTCCCTGCACTTGGATCCAGGGCAAGGTGAAAGGAAATGCAAAGGAAAGTCTTCCGAATCAGTGGAGAAGCACCAGAACCATCATCAGAGTCAAAACAGGACTCAGCACAGTAGCCATCATCCAAACCAACTTACAGTCTCTCCTGGAGGGATCTTGGAATTTGTACCAGCGCAAAGACAACAGTCAAAATCCAAGCCAACAAGAGAGAGAGACTTGTCATCAAAGTCTTGCTCTGCAACTACCAGCTACCTGTTGCACAGTGAGAGGAACGTATCATCTGTAGGAAACAAAGAAAACTCCAAACTGGGACCCCGCCACCAACTGCCACATGCCCACAGCCTATCCCGTCACCACAGTTCAGCCCCATTACCCCATGCTGCCATCCTAAACCCTCACTACCCTGCTGTACCACCCTCACTCCCTTCCCGAGCCCCTTCCTCCTACCAGCACAGTCAACCCCGTCCCTCACACACTAGAGAACATCGGCCCCAAATTCTTCACGCATTGCCCCTCTCCCCTACTTCCTCCCAAGGAGGCTTCCCCAGTCCTGACCACACATGTACAATTGACTTTTCCCACCCCTGTGGCTGTTGGAGGTTGGTGCGTTGTAGAAGAGGTAGAGGTCACTCGTCTGGCTGCCCCGGTCATAGTACAAGCCCATCCTCTTCATTTTCTCATGCCCAAGGAACAAGTGCTGCCAACGGAGGTGGCGGAACCATGGGATTGAAGACTTTAGGAGGGTGTCTGTCAACTGCTTCCACCACCAACACCTCCTCTTCTAACAGCACTGTCTCAGACTGTCGCACAGGGCTGCTCAGACCTTTGAGTTGTGCATCCTGTTCTGGAGAAGCTGGAGGTTTTGAGAGCCCTGCTGCTTTCCGTAAGAAACTGGTTGGGGGTTGTTTACCCTGTACTCCCCTATCCTCATCTGCACCTCTTCGAGCACTCCAGAGTTGCGTCAGTGGGTGCAATCCCAAAGCAAGCCAAACTGGCAGCTCCACATGCAGTTACTGCAGTAGTGACCCCATTGTAGTGACCTTTAACCCACACAGAGGGAATCCTCCCAACCTGGGGCGTAATATTGGTGCACATACCATGGGAGGATACCAGCCTGATGATGATGATTACAGTGTACGCACAATTTGGCCGGAGGAGCTAGCAAAGAAGATGACTCGCTCTAAAACCCAACCTATCCACCACAATACAGGTATTGGAATGGGCTCAGGGAGAACCTGCATGGGCCACAACCAGAATAGTGGCAATGGTGGCAATCCTGTAATCCTGGACTGCCGGAACCTTATGGAGTTCACTCGTTCCCAGTTGACAGATCAGGCAGGACGACGGAGGCTCCAGCAAGGCAAGATGGCAGTTTTGGACTTTATTGGATCAGGAAATAGCGGGGACCAGGGTAGAGATTCCCTCAAGCGGCTTTGGAACAAAGGAGCAGATGCTTGCATGGTGGATGGCAACGGGTTTGACGATGAAGTGCTTCCACAATCCCCATCCCTTCGCTCTCCGTCTCCAGATTCCCCTCCATCCTTCTCACCCCCACCCTCTGCTCCTAGCACACTTATTAAGCCCAAACCCAAACAGCGAGAGAGGCAGGGGGGACACACCTTACCGTCTACACAGTCGCTCCACTTGGTCCTCAACTCACTCAACAGAGAACAAGATGAGGAAAATGGACGAGGTAAAGATGCTAATGTGCAAGTACACAGCAGGTTGAGTGACATCTTTATAATGTGTTGTTTTTGACTGACCATTCAGAAAGACAAATATAATCTCTCCACATTGCCAGTCCGACTTGAATGTACTGACCTTGATTTCATTTTCTCATCTTCCATTTGGCTGTAGGCCTTTCTGCGCTGATAGTATTAAAATTAAAATTATAGTTAATTCAATCTGTGGGGTGCATAATCCTTGTTAGCCTAGCTTCAGAAGATTGCCAGAGTTACATTACCCATGATGCTCTGGTAATGTAACTCAAGTTTTTCTCCTTAAACCTTTTCTATCTTTAATTCTTTTTCTTAAATTTCAGACTGCTTTATCCTCTGTTTTATGTTTTACTGAAACTCGTTAAGTTTTGTCAAAGAACTAAAGGATTAAAGCTATTCTATGGGGGAAGAGTGATGAGACTTCAAACAGGAAAGATAAGGAGGAAGGATTAATATTAGTAAAATTATTTGATTTTCTTACATAAGGCCTTGATGGCATCATACTCGGACAGGATTTTAACCCGTGTCATGTTTAATTGACTGAAGAGAATCCTATACCAGCACACCTTTCTTAGATGGTCACATAGAGTGGACTATTTCAACATATAAGAAAACAAATGTAATCAATTGTTTTTATTTATTTGTTTATTTATTTATTTTTTGCCAGTGCACCTTTCCCTCCCCCTCTCCTCATCCCTCCCAGCGTCACTATCTGAGGAGAGTGTTATGACCCCAGATGTGGAGAATGCTGTGATTAGCCCCATCCTCCCTTTCCTTTTCCTGGGCAATGAGAGAGATGCACAGGATTTGGATCTACTGCTTCGTCTCAACATTGGTTTTGTGGTCAATGTCACAACCCATCTTCCCCTCTACCACCTGGACACAGGCTTGGTGCGTTACAAAAGGCTTCCAGCTACTGACAACAGCAAGCAGAACCTGCAACAGTATTTTGAAGAGGTTTTTGAGTTTATCGGTAAGAGACGTTGTCAACACTTTTGTAGTTTAAATATTTACAGACCCCATGAAATTTCTGTCCTGTGAAAACGTATTTCTTATTGAATCGGAAAGTGTGGCTGGGGTATATCAAAGGGTTTGTGCCTTTCTTTTTTAAACGGCTAATAGCCTTATAGCCAATAACCTTTAGTGGTATACCATGATTTGCAACTTGCTGTCAGTTGCAGGTGGTATTATGGGGGTAGGACCTTCACAATCCAGAGAGCATTTGATTGGACAACAGTTTGTGTAGTGCAGGATGAGTCCTCAGTATTTTTGGTTTGTGTTTCTGGAAACTAATTTTTCAGCTTTACAGCTAATAGATATGGACTAAAAGCCAAAAATCTCTTGACTTTTATGGGGTATTTAAAATCATCTTCTTGCCCTGTTATTTCTGTGAGTTTATTTTTAAATTGCACATCAGTTTATGCTTCATTCTGTCTCAAAGCCAGTTTGAGTTTGTAGAACTGTAGGCATGTGACCATTTTTTGATGTGTGCCACACCTTTTTTTGTTTCAGAGGAAGCTCACCAGTGTGGACGTGGTGTTCTTGTGCACTGCCAAGCAGGTGTGTCCCGCTCCGCTACTATAGTCATTGCTTACCTAATGAAGCACACCCTCATGACCATGACTGATGCCTATAAGTATGTGTGGGGCCGGCGGCCAATAGTCTCCCCCAACCTCAACTTCATGGGCCAGCTGCTAGCGTTTGAGAGAGACCTCAACTCTGGGGTAACACCTCGCATCCTCACCCCCAAACTGAGTGGCCTGGAAACACAAGTTTAAAAGGATGGTGCAAGAAAGAAAATTGTGAGAAAACGAGCGGGGAGAAGGAGATAAATAGAAGATGGAATTGGTGGAAAGAAATGGATGGATAAAAAAATAAGGATAAGAATAAAGCCGTTTGACAATAGCAAACAGTTGAAATTGAGGATTTCGAGAAAGAGATGACAGAATTATCTAGATGATGAAATCAGTCAAAAAGAAATAGAGGAAACAGTCTTGGTCTATTTTAATTGAAGTACCTTTATTCTTTCTGTTTCATACAAATAGCACTTATATGACAGTTGGTAAATGGATGTTTGTGCTACCCACCCTGATACTCTGTTAATTATGTGCCAAGTTTTCATTCAAAATAATAACCCAATTCACTTAAATTATTATTGTATTACTATTATCAAGCTTGGTTACATACAAAGGCTGTATAAAAGTATTTGGGGGGAGACAAATGCAATCAAAGAACTCTGGCTGTCAAACACAGAAAAAGATCCGATGTGTTGAGACTCTCAGAACTGTGACATGCATCACATTCGAGACCCAAGAGCTGTAGCAAACTTCAAACTCCTTTTCCACTGTGCACAGAACTTTTCTAGACAGATTATTTTTGATTTGGGAGATCATTTGAAGGCACTTTTGGGTTACTTTGCGTTAGCTGCCAACTATTTATAAATTTCTCCGCTGACATGATTCATTTTGCCTTTGAAGTTTTTTTCGATACTGCTATTTTTGTTACTTGATTTTACATCTTGCATTCTTTATCTTAGTGTCTTTGTGTGGGTGGTGTGCAATAGTGTTGATTGGGAAGCGGAACTGATTTATTTTCACTTGGACACTGTTTCACTAATGGACATTTTTTATGGGACATGAACCAGCCATTCTAATGGCAGATATAATCCAAAAATCATATATTTCTTTTTTATTTCCTGCTTATGATATTGAACAGAGGGCAATTTGTATAAAGCACTGTGTAATGAAAAAAATTTGTTAAAAGCAAAAGTGGATAATAGACTATACAGTAAGTTTTTCTTTATTTTATCCAACTGACTATTTATTTTACTTTGAGCAGGCAGTGCAATGGCTTAAATTTACATGGATTTAATTTTACTTTTTGTGCTTTTTGTATGTTATGTTGCTGTCTTTGTGCTCCAAATGGTGTTTAGAAATTATGAGTAGAAAGATTTTGTGCAATTTAATTTTACATTTTAATAAGGAATATGTACACTGTTTATTACTGTGCAAAATTACTGTGACTGGAGCAGATTGGGCCAAGTCATCAACATGAATCTTACTCTTTAGTATAATTTGAATTTGAAATTCAGAATTGCACATCAAGGTGACGTAGATATTTATAGTTTATGCAAAATCAGCATGAAAGTTCCAAGGTGATAGTGTGCAGGTGTTTTCTGTCATTTGCATTTCTATCATATTCAGTTCACTGCATAAGAAAAATGAACACTCTTATCAGCTTTAATGCCTGCCCTGTTTTTAAACAGCCTGCCTAATTTGGCCATGATCAGATTTTAGTGCTCTCAGGACTGTAGTCAAACACTCTGGTTTTGTATTAGCAACCACGAAGTAAACCCAGAGCCCCTTCCTCCATTTAAATTCTTCCTTAATTTTCCTACCTTCCTTTTTCTTTCTGTATGTCCTCTAAGAGACTATGCATCATTGTGGGAATACATTCTGTGAAAAAAGACTTGGTTCACTCAGTTCACTGTGAAACATTCTTCTTCCTGCATATTGTCAAGTTCTCAGCCTTGGTCCTTGAAGCCGCCTCTCATCAGTCTTGACAAGCGAGGAGTTTGTCTGCTGTGTCTGAGCTCTTATCTGCCTCACTAAGCCATTGGGCCTTCACACACCACTGCTGAGTCTCCGTTAATGTGCTCTGCCCAGCAACGCGTGACAAAGTATACTATATTGCATTTCAGTTCAAATACGCTCCAGTTTAATCCCCCCGCCCCCCACTGTACCTAAAGTAAAGACATGTGAAGGTGTTTTCTTACAGGTACAAAACCACAGAAATGCCCCCAAATTTTGACATCTGATTTATCGAAGACGACTGCTATGGATGACCAGTTCAGTGCCATTGCTGTGTTATTTTAGGGTCAGCTGCTGCTTGTATTTGTCATACAGTGAGTGACACGCTGACTGTTTCTTTCTGTCTCTCTCTGCCGACAGTGTTTTTGTCTGACACTGTAGCTTGATTATGCCCAGAGGAAACGATTAGGTAAGCAACACCTAATAAATAGGTCTCAATGAGGTGACAGAGCTCTGAGACAAATCTTAATCTAAAAAGCAGGATTGGGCAAAATTGGGATTTCAAGAATCCTCCATTTAGTTCATGAGTTTGAATTTGATTTGAATTGACCACATGCCACAGCATATTGAATTGAAATGGCGTGAAGAGGAATTCAAAGAAATTCAACACACAGTTACATGCCCCCATGTCTAGAATCCGTGAAACGTTGGATGTGTATGTACACACAATACTGTACGCAATACTTTCAATACTAATTCCTTAAATTGAAATTTGAATTACAATTCTCCTTTTTGCTACCTCAATTCAAATTCAGGAATTGAATTGGAATTTAAAAGGCAATGTTATGAATGCCACGCAACCCTGCTAAACATGGACGCTGCTGAATAGCATTTAGCCTAACAATATGTATTTTTAAAACTTGAATTATTTCTACTTTAGAGTATAATTACTAAACAGATCCTTTGGTATCTGACAGTACCTTTTTCTTCCATTATTTCTTCGAATTCATCGTTTACCATTTTATTAAACCTGCCAGTTGCCCCAAGTCTGCATGAGTAAATGTATAAAGTGTGTTTTACGAGAAAATAAATGCCGGGGATGCCTTTTGGTACAATAACCGTCTTCCGAGTCAATGTAGCACCTGTCAACGGAAAGAAATGGAAGCACTTGGAAGTTTTGTTATTGTTTGGATTTGTTTTGCTCTGTTATATCTGTTTAGTGTGCTTGTGTGTGTGGACGTGAGAAGTCAGTCTTTGTGTTTTCTGTGTGCTCGACATGTTGAGACATAAGAGTAAGGTGGGTGAATATTTCCTACCATTTTATCAAGAATCCCAGCCTCAGGCCTGTTAACTGTCATCGGCACAACTCAAGCTTCACTGTAAGCTTGCATCTGTCAATGCCAATAGCCACTGCTATATGCCTCCTTTACCCTGGATTTTCTCTTCCAGGCACTGGGGGAAAATTTACCTCTTTGCACATTCAATCATACCTTTCACTGTAGAAAAAATATTGCATAGGCCTACCAGAATCACCTGGCAACACTGAATGAATAGCGCTGGACATCATAGACCTGCACTGCTGTTGGCTGTCCACATGTTGAGTATCTTATTGTATGAAAGCTGAATTTGTTTATAAAATGTGTGCAAAGCATTGAAACTGGATACTATATATGACCAGTATTTCCTGTGTTGAATAATCTTATATACAGAATATGGTTTGCACATAGAAGTGAACTAAATGTAAAGTTTTGTGTAGAAAAAGAACGTTGTAAATTTGTGAATTGATTCTGTGGCTTTATTCATGTATGTAATGCTTGTTCTTTTTTAAATTATTATTATTATTGTTGTTGTTTTTATCTAATTTTTGTGCCAAATGCTGAAATGAAGGTTGGCATATTGACTAAAAAGAATTGCCCTCCAGAAAAGAACATGTTTGAACTGCTCAGTTATCAGTGTTTTACCTTCTTCCCCAGGCAATATGTTGTTGTCATATTCTGTTACTGTAACTTTACACTTTACCTACAGATTTTCTTACCCACTAAACTGCTAAATTGCTCATTGAAGATGTTATATTTTCATATGTTGATTTTGTTTTGTTTGATCATGGCAATTTTATCAGTGACTCTTTGGATAGAGGTTTATAGCTATCCCTCAAGGGTTGTTCTTTGATGTACTTTGAATGCATGTTGCTCTAAACTGACCTTCCGGTCTTCTCTCCCCTTCCTACTGACTCAGCCGTTCTCCCCTGTGAGAATTCAGTGCCCACGCTGCTTCAGAGAGAAGACGGACAAGGCAGCCAGTGTTGGTTTGACCATATACTTGTGTCTACTTTGGTTTTATCACTGACAAATGATGGAGCTTCATCCTTTTCCTGTTTAAAACTTTACTGTGAGAGACTGTGATACTGTTGTGAAGCAAAAATGATTAAAAGTGTTAGGCTGATCCTTGCCGGTAATGACTATGAAAATAACAAACCTCTCTCTCAAAAAAAAAAAGATTGGCTTATAATAGAATTGTTCATTGATATTCTCGCAAAGCTAAAATGAGTTGTTGAAATAAATTTTTTTTTACAAATTGACAATGCTGTAGTGTTTCTTTTCATATGGCCTTTGACACAATATACATATTGGTATCTTGCTGCATTAGTCTAGCTCTCCCAAAAGCAGGACCAGTTCATTCAGAACCAGAGATGTTGGGTTTGGAAATTATTGGTTGTTACAGTATAGTCAATGAGTTGTCAGATTACTGCTGTGTTGTGCGACTGCGTTGTGATTTGGCACCCTGAGGGCTTGGATCAATAGTCAGCATGGTCTAATACAGGACAGCTATCATATCAAAGCGAAACCTAGGTGCTGCTCTCTCCAGGCGAGACCTCTCCAGTCTCGGTTTCCATTAGCTTTCAACGCTGTCCTCGTAGTGGTCTAATCTCAGTGTCAGTGAGAAAGTCAGAATGATAGAACAAAGCTAAAATGGTAGTGTGCCTGAGAGGGATGAGAAGAGAAACTGGGGCAAAGGCTTTTAGAATGTGTGTGGAATCATGCGCGTGTGAGAGGCCAGCATAAAAATGCTCAAGAACACTGCTGATCCATGTCCCCAAAATCCCTCTGTAATATTGGTGAATCTTGATGACTCAATTCTGCTGCCTAGTCTTGAGGGTATGACTGTTATGTGATTTAAGTGCATTTTAATTTACTTTAAGTTCTCTATTAGGATAACGGATAACTGCTTTCTCCCGTTTTTGAATTTGATTGGCTGAGTGGCATTCCAGGAGTGTTGATATAGGCCTTAAAACATGAGGAATGATTAGTCAGCACACGTACTTACATTTGGTCTTGAACTGCATACCAACACATTTAGCAAAGCAACAATGTGCAAAATTGATCTCGCATCGCTAACAGCTAACATCCAAGTATGCCCAGTAGCCAAGCACCGGCGACTGCATTTATGTACTTGCATCCAGTGTTGGGGGTAACGCATTACAAGTAATGTGAGTTACGTAATCAGATTACTTTTCTCAGGTAACTAGTAAAGTAACGCATTACTTTTTAATTTACAAGAAAATGTCTGATTTGATTTTTCAAATAATTAAAGGCAGTTACTTTGTTTTCCCTTTTTATTGACTGATATCTTTCCTGTCCCCATGTTGAGAGAAATGTAGTGCAGAGGCGTTGTGTAAACGTATGCTGTGTAAACATGATGGTTTCTGTAGTTCTAGACTAAATGTGAACATGGATTTATTCATTTCACTTGTACAAAAACAGGTTAATTATTCCTCGGAATTAATAAAATCAGTGAAAACAGATTATTACGCAAGCCTGCAATAATTAAATGTTGCCACAAAAATATGTAAATGTTTATGTATTTAATCCCTTTTTGTTAACAAGTGTCTTTGTTGCTGACCTTCAATAATCTAATTCAACCATACTAATCAGCAAAAATGACTTAAGATAAACATAACATTTGTTTCTTTTTCTTTTCGTTGTGTGTGTGTGTGATTGAGAAGAAAGTGTTGAACTTATCCTATTCTTCATGCAATTCAGAATGGCAGCACAGCTGAAAGTTTTGTTTGAGCTTTTTGAATTTACATTTCCTTCAGACTGGGGATTACTCAGTTCACTTTTGGTGTGAAAGGGCTTTTACATTTGCCAAAAATAAAACTTTTTATATTAAATAAGCAAGCCCAGGCCATTTGAGAAAAAGTAACGCAAAAGTAATTACTTTCCATAAAAAGTAACTAAGTAGTGCAGTTAGTTACTTTTTTAAGGGAGTAACGCAATATTGTAATGCATTACTTTTAAAAGTAATTTTCCCCAACACTGTTTGTGTCCAGTATGTTTCTTGCCATACAGTCCAAAAGACAGACTGTTAGTCAGTTCATTGAATCGTTCGCAGCTGTTTCACACATCAAAGTAATAATGGGACACTTAAGACAGAAAACAAAAAGAGCACTGCATTATAATCCACTGTAATCCAATCCTGGATTATAATCCACTGTAAGAAACAAAATTTGCAAATGTCTCCTATAATTTATCAACTTGAGAATAAGGCAATGACCAGTTATATACATAACATTATCAAATGTATCAAACGTTGGAGACTATTTTTAATTGGAGCCTTGTACCCCAGAACTGATGAAAAGCTAGAAAATCCCGCCACCACCAAATGGGGTGTTGTTCTGAATAACAGCAGGACTGTGATTACCTGTCACCATGTGGCTATGGCCCAATCACAGCCGTGATGATAATTAAACCAACAACAAACATCTTACTCAAATTTCGAATAATTTTATATTTGATATAATTACATATTCTATGCATTACCAAAATGGCTTAGACATTTATCTAATGATTACTTTGAACTTATAAAAGAAGCATCCAGTCTTTGTGTTTTGAGGCACATTTCACTAAATCTCTGGAGTCGTCAAAGATGTTGCCCAGCAACACTTTTTTTTTAGGTGCAAGGGAAGCATCACTGATAAAAAAAATGTTTTTAACACATTGTGAGCTCAATGGTGCTGATGAAATGGACATATCTCAATCTGCGCTTTATACAAATATCAGAAGTCTTGTGGGTATAAAACAGGGATTATGCAAAAGGCTTTTCATGTAATATAGGTAGGTGTGGTTTATGTGCCTCCTCAAATCACCTGTGGCAGGCAAATGTTCTTATTTAGTACCTGCACCTGTGAAGAGGTTGAGAAGCAATCCTGCTCTATGGTTTAATTTCAACACTGTACTGACATTACCAGGACATAATGTTTGCACAAGAA